AGTCGTCTGGCATCACGAGGAGGTTAAATTCATCCTTCTTTACAAAACAGCAGCAAAATATTTATGCCATTGCTGCACAAGCACTTTTGTAAGTTAATGGCTGACTGCGTGTTTGCTTGATGTTTTCCTGCTGCTTCACCCTGAACTTTGAGTGAAATGATAAGATCGTGAAACTTTTCAAACTGTGCCTGCGTTTAAAAAATGAGAAAAAGCCCTTCCTACACGGGCAGAAACCGCAGGCCTTATTTACTACATTTCAAAAAGCAACCTTTATTGATTGTTTGGATTAGTCTTGGATTTATGCAGGTTAACACACCTGTATGAACTTTAAGTGTGAGTAAACACTCCCTTCATCATTGGATTTGCAATTACCTGATTTTATATTAATCAAAGTGTGCTACATGATTCTGCTAGGCTGGGAAAAATAACATAAGATTTCAATTCAGGGGTTAATATCATGATTGCATTTTCACATGATGTTTTCTTTTCTTTACAAACCTCCTGTTTTATTTCTCACATTTGGCTGTAGTACTGAAATATCTATATGGAATTTCTGCTCTAGCGGATTCATAAGACCACTGGCTGTAGTTTTATCCAGACCAGTGTCAGTGTGAGACATATCAAGCATGTCCTTTCAGTGCCCTCCAGGCTTTGTACTTAAAGTAACGGACACACAGAGCTTTTTATGAGTGTGAAGGGGGGAAAAAATAACCCCAAGGGGATAGACGATCAGTTAGGCTGGAGAGAAATACCCCAGGATGTAAACATTACACCACGACGTGAGGCTGGGTCATGGCCCCTGGGTTTAACACAAGATGTAACCCTCAGTTGTTATGGGCCATCATAAGACCTGCCAAACAGCTAAGAGCGATCGGCGCTGCCCGCATACCACAAGGACAAAAGGTTAAGGAAACACTGTTGAGCTCTCTTAGTGGCTGCCAGACATTCAAGAACACATCATGTAAAAACTGTAAAAGCTGTGTTCGTTTAAATGTTTTACATTCCTGCTGAAAAGCCAAAAAGACTTGGTTCAAGTGGAATGATTCACGACAGCCTTATGTAAAAGCTTTAACGGCCAGGTATGCATGAGAGTATATAGCGTTTACATGAAGGTATGGAGCACTCTCTGTCTCTTTATGCCCCCCTTCCTCCTCCTTTTTCCACTGACCGGCCTCATAGGAACTCTGAAAATAACTTGACCGGCTCAGCAATGGGACTTTCAAGTCAAGGTTTGCAGTGAGAGCTCCTCGTGTTGGGGGAGACATCGTGATTATCAGCTACAGTCTATTTGTTAAGTTCAGCTATGTAGATGAATTCATTAGGACTATACACCATAGTGAAGTCATTACTATCACAAAACCAGATGTCTTCATTTTTTTTTTGTCATAGCCGCAGACTGATCCCTCATGTAAGTGTGCTTCTGTAGCTCAATACCACCCCCTGGTGGGACTCGCTTTAGTGGTTGGCACACTGACATCCAAACAACTAAAATCCCAGCGTTTTATCATCTCTCCTCACATGGACCGAGACAATTTGAAACATTATAGTAATTCTACATCAAAAAGAATTTGTGTTTGAGGTTACTGACACCAAAGACTGACAGACGCCTGTTTAATTTTAAACCCTGCAAAAAAAAACATAAAGAACAGCTCAGAAACAGCTGGACCATTTTTTTTAAATTAAAAAATGTTGTCTTTCTCAATTCAAGCAGCCAGTTTAAAAAAGAAAAGAAAAAGAAAAACCTAGAAAGACTCTTTTCTGCACCCTAAAGCTCTATATAAATCAGCAAATATATATAAAAAACAAGAACATATGATTTGAATCATCTACCACTGTATTCTGTTCAATAAAAAAGTTAGATAATTATCAATAAATCAATTAAAGTAACAATAGCAAAAACGTATGAATACACACAAACTATAACATGTAAATAATCACGCGTTTAATTCTAAGATTATTGTTGAAAATATATATTTTAACATATACACATTTCATCTTTATCAAAAACACTGAGATTGTAAATAAGTAACTGGTTCCAGCCAGCTTCAAATACCATTATCGGTGAAAAGGCGCCAGGAAAACCGGTCCGTTTAAAAATCATGGATCACATCTTTATTTTCATGCAGGCGTTGGTTAATTACTCACCAAAAAAATCCATGGGCCTGTCTGAATGAGATCAAATCTCTTATGCATATGGCTTGCAATAAAATATTCCACTAAGAAGGAAAATAATTAAGTCTAGTGCATTTCATTTCAAGTTAGCAAGCCGTGTGAAGTCAGCTGAGGAGGGGAGGGAAGTCTTCGTTTTGTCCTATGTGTAAAGTAGTGTAATGGGCAGGCAGGCTGCTGGAAATCCTACTCTCCATCCTCCCTGCTTCCTCCGGTGTGATGGCATTTCAAGTGCGATAGGGCATTGCGAGCGGAGTAGGCATCACAACGCTTTGATGCCCGTGTTTCGGACCAAATATAGGCCAAGTAGTATTAATTGGCATTTGGAAAACGGAGGCTAATATTCGCTCGTTTAAAAACAATACATCACTTCTGGCTCATAAACACTATCCGCTGAAAGCCGAAGAAATTTCTCGCGCTTCAAGAGGTGGGGGACTAAACGACCCTCTCCAAGAGGAGAAAGAAAGAAAGAGAGATAAAAAACAAGACTTACAGGCTACATTTTAAATCAGACATGTCTTAATAATTAGCTTATTGCAATGCCGTCAAAACAAGCTGCAAAAAGCGGCTCGAAAACAGAGCCGTATTGACATATAAACTAACACAACCAAGCCGCTTTTAAAGCTGGGTAATAAGGGAAGAAGTTGGTCGATGCCAATGACATGTTGTCATTAACTTAGCCTTGTTGTTAACAACTTGAATTGCTCGTCATTTGACAAGGAACCCGAGCACAATAAACGGTAAACACGGCACTTTTGCCACGCTATTCGTCCCAGTGGCGTGCTTTTAAATGTGGGCTACGACGGGAATAGTAGCTTGGCTAGAATGCAAGCTAATATTAGCTGGCTAGGTGATGTCTCCACGTTTTAGCAGCCTATTCGGAGGAAAATAGCGGAGCCGCTTTCTACCGAAAATTTCTCCGCTCGGCTTCACGCGTGTGTCATTTCCGCACGGAGTTGCAGCTCTTCCAAAACCCACACCGCGGTCATACTAGTAAATTAATCCCATTATATTTCTCTTACCTTCCGGCTTGTTTTCGGCAGCCATTTCCCCTTCACGCGCAACATCCTCCTCCTCCTCACGACCGTGGGTACCACGCGCGTGCACGGCGAGGACAGCACGAGGAGGGACCGGAGGAGCAAGCGGCGAGTCGGTCCGACCGAGGCGAACTTATCATTGGCTGTGAGGCGGTGACTGACAGAAAGGCTCCGGGATGAAAAACAACACATCTCACCTCACCTTGGCACCACTAGCCGTATTTTGTTTGGGGTTTTATAAAAATCAAAATATTTTTATTTAATATATTTTTACAGCTCAGAGGCAATGCTGGTCTTTAAAAGACGGCATTATAAAAAGGGAAAGAAAACTTTAATGTCTGGCAGGTTGCTTTCATAATTTTCCTTCTTTATTTATTTTTTTAAGAAACTGATTAGATTGTGAATATTAAATGCTTCCCTCTTGAGTCACCCCACCCAAGTTGTTTTACACTGGCATTTCCGAGTGACGCAAAAACAGTTATTAGAAGAAATTAAGTGCTTAATGTTCTTCATTAATTGTTTTTAATCAAAGTCTGCTTATCTAATCTGATACTGGAGATACGAGCTGGTTCGTACAACTAATAACTGGAGGTTCAGCCTCAGAAAAGAAAAAAAAAAGAGAGAATTTTCCATAATCATCCATCATGGAGCACTTTGTTTTTAGTTTCATTTCCCCGTGTTTAAGACACCGAGTTTGAGTTGAAGACAAATATGCAGCCCTGTAAAGAAACAAATGATAAAGCATTTGAGACATATTGGACAGTACTCTGCGCAGTCTGTCAATCATGTGTCCGTTTACATTGGGGAGCCTGCAGACTACTTTTCCCCCTGTAGGCCTGTCTAAATGATTTCACCACAATACTGAAAACCGCATTGATTTCCAGGAGATGTGGATACCACCTCTTGTTCCACCATGAGGGAGGCTGCCGGCGGTGGAGTCCGTGTAAACAGCTGTTTCTGGTCCAGAGTTAACTTTTAACTCTACCCGCTATATGCCACGGAGGATTTTCTTGTAACTGCTATCATTATGGCGCAATCACACATGCTTGACAATATACGTTAAATGGCTAGAGGCGATCTAATTACAGATCACTGTGCTTAATCGCTTCAACTGCGGCACTCCACTCAAGGACAGCCTTTAACAGGCTGCTGGCCGTCAGCGTTGAAATGCAGTGTATAGTTTGAGGTGGTGCTGAAAGAACAGCTCCTCTGCTGCCTGCTGCTGCGCCTCGTGCAGTCTACGGCTTGTTGTTATTGCGAGGAGAGTAATTAATGAAAGACCTAATGTGATTTTCTTCACCCCCTGCCTTAATTGCTTCTATAGCTGAATGTGATGCAGGCAATATCCCTTTAGAATTAAGGCATACACGTTCCCTCTAAATATGAGCAATATTCATTTTCTCTCACATAAAAAAGAACATTCGGTGTATATACATAATATTTCTCCCCTGCACGTTATTTAGCCATTATATAGTATCATTTGCAAAACTGAAATAAAATAAATCAGCTTAAATGAACACTAAAGTAACTTTAAAGTAAATTCGCGGATGGCTGCAGTGCAAAAACAACAACAACAAAACAAAAGCAAAAAAAAAAGCCGGGTTACTTCATACTTCTTTCCTGCGCATTATTCCTCATAAGCACATCAACTGCAATTAATGAATTCAAACTTAAATATGCACAGGACCGCGTAGCAATGTGTCAGCATTTAGGAAACGGCCGCGGAGTTGTCGCTCATCCCAACACCAGGGGGCGACAGAGCGCGAAGAGGAGACTTGGAACGACATAAGTGACACAAAGAAGAGATGACCGGGTGTGAACATGGCGTCTCCCTTAGACGATGATGAGCTCGCCAGTGATGATTATTATTCCCTGCTAAATGTCAGAAGAGAGGTACAATATGCAGCTGGGATCTGAATGATTGCGTGTGCGGATTCAGCATCGGTCGTCCTAAAAACTTTATACTGCTGTTATTAAAGCGTTGCTCCCAAACATAGATGAAACATTAGCTAGGCAGCTAACTAGTGACCCTCGACATTGATTAACTCTTCGGTTGTTTCAGTGAGCACAGAAGAGTCGTGGGGTGACAGCTTTGGCAGCGTAATATGTTGCTTGTGTAGGACAGAGAATCGGTGTGTTTATGTGGCAATCTAAGAGTTGATGTTTCCGGACTGGCAATTGTTTTTGTTTTTTTTCTCAATTTCACATGTATGTCATGTACTTTGGAGAGTGCTAAGTAGCTAATGTAACTTCGGAGCTGCAGCATGCAACACGCAGTGCTGATTATAGTATAAATGGACTTTTTAAGTCTGCAGGAATCGGACGTTTTTGGTCGTGATTATTTACTTGTAGCAGCAAAAAGCATCGTGTTTATCTGAAAATTCGTTATGCAAAAGAAAACCATTTGCTGGCAGGCTAAAGTGTATAAGTATACTGAACTATAAGTGTTATTATAAGTTCCACATTCTTAAGCAAGGAAGGTAAAAACTTTGATTCCGAATCTGTTATAAAAAATATCACTCCGAGTGATTTTAAAACATAAAATATGCTGGGGTAATGGTAGGCTAGATTACATTTTTAAAAAAAATTAATCCGTTATGTTTAATAACGTTAATATGTTATTAAACATATTTAATATGTTTAATACGTTATGTTATGTTGTAACTATGCTGTGCTGTCTTTTTTCCCTTCAGGCTACGCAGGAGGAACTGAAGGCGGCATACAGACGATTATGCATGCTCTATCACCCAGACAAACACCGGGATCCTGAACTAAAGAGACAAGCAGAGCACCTTTTTAACCTTGTACACGAAGCTTATGAAGGTAAGAAGAGCATTGATCCCATTTCCTTTTGATTCCCTTCTCAACCCTGTGTTGAACGGCTGATGCTCTTGAGTATGTTTTGACGTAAAGAAAGCATACTGATGGTTTACATTTTGAATCTCTTTCTAGTGCTCAGTGACCCTCAGGCACGTGCCATCTATGATATCTATGGCAAGCGAGGACTTGATGTTGAAGGATGGGAGGTGAGTCTCTCAGTGACTTGTGACTTGTTTAGACGTCTTCAGTGCCTATGACATATCCTATGTTGAGTGGCTGAGGTCGCTGCCAGCATTTATTGTTCTGTGTGATCCATTGATTGATTGAGTGCCTTGTGGTCATGTTTTACATCCAGTGTCAGCAACGATAGAAACAAATAAAATGCTGGGACTTTTTTCTCCCTTGGGTCCACAATGTCTGGTGTCTTCGAACATATTTATCCCTCAAGTTTTGCACATTCAGTTAAAATAGTTTCTGAAGTCTCATTCCAGGAAATTGCTGACATTTGAGATTCCTAATAATCTGATACTGTGATTATTATTCCTTATATTGAGGCAATGATTGTTATCCTCTCACTTATAAATAAATAAATTGCAGTGAAAAAGTAGCTAGAAATGAATAGAAAGAATCAATGATAATCACTAGTTATGGGCTGTGTTGACGTGGCATGTAATTACGGGGAGGGAGGTGCATGTCAGGTTATGATTGTCTTTACATCGTAGGGTTTCAGAGGGGTTTGCGGTTACAATGTACCTACACGGTTGATTTCCCACTGAAGCATACATCACATCCATAGTTAGAAAGAATGGTCGTTGTGTTGAACTATTGTTTGCTATTAAGTAATATACAATGACACACCTATAACTTCCTTTGCACGTGCGGAAAACTTCAATACCAGCTCTGTAGCGTTCTGAATTTCGACAATACCGATTACAAGAGTCAACTTATTCATTCTTAAAATACTGTATATTGAATTCATGATAAATATGACATGCATTGCTACTCGAAACCAAGCATAGAGTAAATTTTGTAATTAAATTTTCAGAACTCTGTGGTGTTGTGGTTTGTCTTTCATAGAAAAGATGCATGGTCCAAAACACAAACTCAGTCTTCAGGGGTTCACAAGCTAGTGTAATTCCAGTGCCAGTCTTATCTGTTCCAAATCAAATATGTGGATCCATCTGCAGTGGTAACCCCATGGGCAATAAGGGAGCAGTCAAAAGTACCTTGTAACTTCTGACCATATTCATTGCAAGTTGGCAAAACAGTATTCAGAAATTCAAAAAGAAAAAGCCTCCTGTCTTTGTTAGTGTTCAAATATCTCTTAGCTAGATATCGACATCTTGAGAAAGCTGATGGAAACATCAAGAGGCACGCATTAAAAAATAACATCCTTAAAAAATGTAGCATTGGTGCCTTTGTGTGAAACTGTTCTACCTTTGCCTTCATCTAATAATGCTGGACTGTACAAAGTATGATGCAGAAAGAACAAATATTTACAGAGGAAGAATATATGGGAGAGTGATTTATATATTTATTTTTATTTATTTATATTTCCAAGTGTAAACCTGTATCTGCAACCAGTCAGTTCTGCTCGGTTTACATTCAAATAACATATCTTCTGCCTGCAGGTGGTGGAAAGGAAAAGAACCCCTGCAGAGATTCGAGAAGAGTATGAGCGTCTTCAGAAAGAGCGAGAGGAGAGAAGACTTCAGCAAAGGACCAACCCAAAGGTATGTTCGAGGGAAGATAAGAAACCTCGCATTGAAGTGAATAAAACCCAGGAATGGTGTGCATAGTTTATGAATTTTCAATAAACACTGTATCGATTCGTGATAATTTCGCAGGGAACGATTAGTGTGGGTATTGACGCCACAGACCTTTTTGACCGGTATGAAGAGGACTTTGAAGATATGGTTGGAGGTGGAGTCCCACATGTGGAAATCAACAAAATGCACATATCACAATCTATAGAGGTAACTGGTTGCCCCAGGATTCTTGCTCTTCTATATATTGGATTAAGAGATGCCAATGAGTCTGTGATGGCTTTTGGAAAAGATGTTTGATTTGATGCTAATAACAGGACTCACAGTTTTATGTATTCTATTGCAGGCTCCTCTCACTACAAAAGACACAGCCATTCTGTCTGGGTCCTTGTCAACACACAATGGAAACGGAGGCGGCTCTATTAACCTGGCTTTGAGAAGAGTCACATCAGCTAAGGGGTGGGGAGAGGTATGCTGTGTTTTCAGTGGGCATTGCACACTCCCTAGTACTTTAAATTGCTGGGATTTGTCACAAAACAGGCGTGTGTGTGTTTTTAATAACACGCTATGACATTTTAAGATCTGAGACGTTTTTGCTGTCTGTGTTTAAACAGGTAGAGTTGGGAGCCGGAGACACTCACGGACCTTTCCTCGGAATGAAGATATTCCGCAACTTGACGCCTCGATTGTATGCTTAGATGTGCTAGAGAAAAATAAGTCAATCCTCGATATTTTTGCAACAATGTGAACAATTTCACCGATTTCTTTATTTTGCGTGTTGTCTCAGCTTTGTGACTGCTCAGTGCGGGCTCCAGTTTTCATCTCGAGGCGTGCGTCCTGGGTTCACCACGGTGCTGGCCCGTCACCTAGACAAGAACACTATGGGGTACCTGCAGTGGCGCTGGGGGATCCAGTCTTCTATGAACACCAGCATAGTGAGGGACACTAAGAGCAGCCACTTCACCTTCGCAATGCAGGTTAGGAGCCAGGAGTGATATTTAACTGAAAATCACAGCCGGTTATCACAGTATCACCAAGATTAACACTCACATTTTATCTCTGCAGCTTGGCATTCCTCACACTTTTATGATGATGAGCTACCAGTACAAGTTTCAGGATGAAGACCAGACGAAGATTAAGGGCTCAGTAAAGTATGTTGTTAACGAGCAATATGTGTTCATAATGGAACCCCTGTTGTAGGTCATATTAACGTTGCTATTGTGGTGTAAAACTCTTGAGTGATTAATGTTTCTATTAAATTAAGTTTGGGTGGGATAATTGTTGTGCAGGGAACTGGCCTGTTAAAGTAAATGATGGGTAGAGTGGTTGTAACTTTGCGCTTTTGGTGCAGATCAGGGTTTTTTGGGACTGTGGTAGAATACGGTGCCGAAAGGAAGATCAGTCGACACAGTGTCCTGGGGGCCACAGTCAGCGTGGGAGTGCCCCAAGGTGTCTCCCTCAAGATTAAGTAAGTGTAACTCGTTGTTCCAATTTCCCATTCATTGGAGGTTACCGAGTTTCCCTCAATTTCTTGTTGCCATTTCTCCTTTTTTTCACAAATTGGGAGTGTGTATCTGCACATGTTAACACAGGATTCAATACAATCTGATGTTAGGTGTTCCTGGGGTATGATTTAAAAGCAAGTGTATGTACAGCTTACATTTTATTTTTAGACACAGACAGACTTAAGGAGAGCATATCACATAAATTAATCATCTGAGAAACAGCGCACAGCTCACTCTCCCGCTTGACCTGGAGTTCTGCAGTGTTTTCACTTTGCTGTGTTTTCAACCTCAGGCATACGACTATAGATAGAAATATTAAAACCAACTCTCTATCCACAGACTTAACAGAGCCAGCCAGACGTATTTCTTCCCTATTCACCTGACTGACCAACTCCTGCCTAGTGCTGTATTTTACGCCACAGTGGGACCACTGGTGTTCTACCTCGCCATGCAGCAGCTTATTATTCGGCCATATGTGCGGGCCCAGAAGGAACAGTAAGAAACTTTCTTTACCTTAGTTGTTTCACGCAAGCGGTGTTATTGGAAGTAGCGCCACATGTATTATTATGGGCAGATTTTATGAGCTCATTTTATTTCTCCATTTATCTTTGAACTCAACAGAGAGTTGGAGAAGCAAAGGGAGAGCTCGGCCTCTGATATAGCCAAAAAGAAACAGGAGGCAGAAGCTGCTGTGAGTATTTTACAAGCTGCGGTGCCGATCCTGCGTTGTTGTCAACGTTAGATAAAGGATGCAGGTGTTGTGTCTGTCAAGCAGTATTATTCTTGCCAGTAGAGAGAGATGGGATTAGATAAAATGCAGAGCATTAGTCAAATTCATTAGTTTAATCCACACAATGTAAAACCTCATTATTTGTGTCTCTTTTCATATCTAAAGGTCTTGCTCATGCAGGAGTCAGTGCGCAGGATTATTGAAGCTGAGGAGTCTCGGATGGGTAAGATTAGTAATATCTGAAGAAAGCGGTATCCTGAAAATAATGTTATTTTTAGCCGATTGTTAAGAAAAAATAGAATTATTTTGGATTCAGAGCTGTTTTTGTACGTTTTGAGCGAAATCTATTGATGTCGGCTTGAATGTTGCTCAGTACAAAGTGTAAATTCTCACATATTGCAGCGTTTGGCTACATCAAAATAAAAATAATCCTTTATTAGCAAAAGGAAAAAAAGCTTTGTTTTCACTTGTTGATAACTCCTACCACACACTTAAAAAAACATAGAAAACACTGTAATCATCTTCTTCAGAGGTTCACTAAAACCGACTTTCCTTTGAGTATCAGGTAACTTGCATTGTTCACACCAATTTCTTTTTAAATTAAGCTAAAACAGTTAATAAAGAACTGTAGTTTTTAGTGGATTTTTGTGACCCTGCTACTTTATTTTCAGCTGGTGATAATTAGTCTTCTTTTTCCGTTTGTCTTTGATAAGCAGAGGAACAAAAAGCTTTGAGCAGACAGCACAATTTTCACCTATGGGAGTTTGACGAGCGATAATTGCCTTATGACACCTGTCACAGTTGAGATTGTTTGATTTTTAGTATCATCAGCGGTCCTTTAGACTTCAGGCCTATAAAGTAACAGTTAATAACAGTGTGTGTGTGTGTGCGTGTAGTGACAGGCATGCAGCTGCTCTTTTATAGTTAATTGACCGCACTCGTAAATGGTTACAGTGTTGTTTATGCAGCCTGTGATTAAAATGAATTATGGTGTTTTTATGTCTTTTTATTGCGCACTTGCAAAATTACTTTTACAAATGACGAAAAAAAAGTTCACTGGTCTCTTCATAGACTCTTTAGCTGCAACTGCTGGCACATAACGTTCGAACTGTGAAAATAGAGATTTGTGTTTAATAGTCAACCTTGGTTTTCTGAACTCTTAATACTAAACGGGTGTTTTATTGATGTTTTATTGCAGAAGAAAGGTTTTAATGTTGATGCTGCTTACTTAAACAGGTCTCATTATCCTCAACGCTTGGTACGGCAAGTTCGTCACAGACAACAGCAGAAAACACGAGAGGGCAAAAGTCATTGATGTGACCGTGCCACTGCAGTGTCTGGTGAAAGACTCAAAACTCATCCTCACTGAGGCTACCAAGGTAATAAGTCAAGACTTCCAAACTCAAAATGTAACACTTGAAAAGTCAGTTTTACAAGTATAGTGTTTATTCTAAGAATTTTTTAAGAATTAAGTGTTTTCCTGCAGAAAAATAGAGTAGCCTCAAAACTTGACATCCACGGCTCGCTACGTTATTTAGTCTCTTGGCAGTGCTGCATGACTTTGTGTTCCCTTTCCAGTCAGGACTCCCTGGCTTCTACGACCCCTGTGTGGGGGAGGAGAAGAGCCTGAAGGTGCTCTATCAATTCCGCGGGGTCATGCATCAAGTCCTGTCAGGAGATACAGAGTCACTCAGGATACCAAAGCAATGTAAGTCCTTTGGACAGTATGCTTATGCACTCACTGGCCACTTTTTTAGGTACACCTCTTCAGTCATTTTTAAATGCAAAATATCTTAACAGTCAGTCACATATCAGGAATTCGACTCATTCGGACATGTAGACGATAACCTGCTGAGGAGAATCGGAGGGAGAAAGGTGGCATATTTATTTGTGCCAAATTGACTGAACTGAGTGTTTCCGAAACTGCTGATCCACTGGGATTTTCCCACACAGCCATCTCTAGGGTTTAAAAAAAGATAAGTGAGAGTGAGTTCTCTAGGTGAAAATGGCATGTTGACGTGAATAGTCAGGCTGATTCAAGCTAATAGGAAGGCAGTGGCAACTCAAATTGAGCACTGCTTACAAGCAAGGTATGGAGAAGAGCATCTCTGAATGCACAGCTCTTTGAAACTTGAAGCAGCAGCAAAAGACCACACTGGGTGTCACTCCTGTCCACTAAGAACAGGGAACTGAGGCTGCAATTCACACCAGCCCAAAATTGGACAAAGGAAGACTGGAAAAACTTGCCTGGTCTAAAGAGTTTTAGGATGTTTTCAAACCTATAGTTTGTTTACTCTGGTCCGAATCTGTTGCTGAGTTTATAAACTTGTAGGTATTGCCCATGATTTGGATTTTCACCACAGCCTACCTGAGTATTGTTGGTGACCATGGCCATTCCTTTATGACCACATTATACCAGTCTTCTAATGGCTGCTTCCAGCAGGATAGTGTGTCATGTCACAGATCTCACATTGCCTCAAACCAGTTTCTTGAACATGAAAATGAGGTTCCTATACTCTGCAGCCTCAATAGTCATTAGATTTCAATTCATTAGAGCATCTTTGAGATGTTGTCGAACACCAAATGCGCATCATGAATGAATGCGAAGCCAGCAAATATTTAACAGCATCTTTAAATGTAATGCCATCAGTATGCACCAAAATCTTTGAGCAGCGTTTCCAGAACTTTATTGAATCTATGCAACAAAGAATCGCAGCAGCTCAGAAGGCAAAATAGGGTCCAGCCCAGTACTGGCAAGATGTACCAAACGAAGTGGCCGGAAGTGAGTACAGTACCAGCATTTCCACAATTTCTATAGAGTTAACATACTTGCAGATTCATACTTTTGTTTTCTGTCTGTCTTACCCGTCCTAGTTTTAGATGTTTTAGACTGCAAGGTAAATTTACGGTAAATCTGAAAGTCTTTTGATATGTTAAACATGAGATTTTTATTTGTTTGTTTATTTGTTTTTTATTTATTTGAAAATGTCTGTTAAGATATACCGTGCTAGGCTATCTGCCATCTCGGCGTGCCCGATCTGACTTTGTGGACGTTATTTCTACTTTACAGCTCACAGGATTGATGCAGACACATAGGAGCACTCTCCCGCTGACCAAAAAGACTCACCTCTTGACTGTTTAACAGAAGATGGATAAAACTCTGTTTTAGATACGACATGGATTCAAGTCTCTGTTACGCAGAAATTGTGAATTTACTTTTTTGTGTTTATATTCATTTAAATATGCAGAGAGGAATAAAATCATCACAGACTGGATTAATCTGTGTCTATGGACTGGGTCGCGGCCTGCTTAAAATTCTGATGTGACACCAAAATCAATGGCTACCATCTTAATTCCCGGGTGTCCCCGGCTCTGTGGTATCCATTTATTTTTGGTATTGCTTGTAATTTATAACAGAGTTCTGTGTACTGTATTGTACAAAAACTGCAGTGCCTGTGTGACTGGAGACATGAATGCACCTCTGTTTAATTGCCATATGATTAAAATCTATCTCTCTCATGTTGTTGAACTATTATTGCCCCTTTATTTAAAAACACAAAAACAACCAACATAGCTTTTTTGTCATGCTTTTGGTATGAACTGTCTTTATTTTGTTGTAGCCTTTCTTTTTAGCGTTCTTTAGTTTTTACCAGAAATAGAAGAATCGCTTTCTTTAGCCCTGACTCACAAGTGCGGGTATTTCAGCATGTTTGATTTGCCAGATATTCATACTGGATGCCCCTCCTGCCACAACCCCGAAGGCATTTGTATGTCGCTCCGTGAACAAACGCAGTTCTTTCACTTTCTGGATGAATGTAAAAGATACTGGAACCCTGAGTTACAGCATGATCTCTGCCTGCTCGGGATGACTAACGGTCTCTGATGACACGTAAAATTTACTGAAAACCACGTCAGTTGACTTCCTGACATCTAGGCGTCTGTTTCACTTCAGTTTTCCTTAACTTAAGGCTCTTTCGACAGAGGACCGAGCATTTTAATGGACTGGACTGGTTGTCGAAGACACGAGGAGCACTATGGATGAAAGCAGCAGCTCCGACCTGGACCAAAGTCCGCCTAAGAAGTCTTCAGCAGCTGCAACAGCGTCAGCCTCATCTCTCAATGCAGATGTAAGAGTCCCTAAAAGTTACTTGAAATGTAGAACCGATCAGGTTAATAGAAACAAAATAAACCGGGTTAATTGCATTTTTAGCCACCTTATCCTCCGCGCGCAAAATAGCCAATACACCGGAAATCGATCATGGCAGTTTATCCACAAATACACAAAATCTGACAGCAACCTGCTTCGATTGGATATTAACGTCCTGTAGGAAAGAAAAACTTCTCATCAAACCGCAATGAAGGTGAAAAGACGATCCTCATAAGGAGGGACAGACAAAACATAGCAATGCAGTAGATCCTACGATCGTGCATAATTGTAACATTTTTAGTTTTGTTTGTTTCAGAACTTACAACTTAGAATATTTCTGCTGTTTCGCACATTTTGATACAAAAAGTTCATATTTGTCCACAAGTAATAACATTTACCCTCTTCAGTTATTTATGTCAAATCGAAGGGGCTGCCTCATGCGGAAGCTTGTTTCTTAAAAAAGTTAGGTCGAAATTTCGAATGATCTTAAAATTTGTTGTTATTTTTCATTTACAGAAAACAAACGGTTTTTTTTTATGTAGTGATGTAAACGCATTGTTATAGTGCCCGACTACTGAGGTTTGAGTAAGAATAAAATTATGCACCTTAATTACTTCTATTGTGCTTTCACCAGCACTTACTGTTAGGCCACAGTCACAGTCAGCTGCTGGCTGGAAGAGTAATGCAACCACTCCTACTCAAGTCAGCCGTTCTTTAGTTGGTTGTTGGAGATATAGTGGTTTTACATTCGATTGAATGTAAATGCCAAACATTTTGCCCAAGACACCACTCTTTAAAAAGGAAAAATATGCACTTAATAAAAACAAAAACAACTTCTTAGTTGGAAATAAATGCTTTTCCTGTATTTTGGCTGGGAAAGTAATGCCTCAACCCCCCCCCCCAATGACCCCAGAAAGTTTGTTTCTAACTAAATATAAACATTGCTAGGATAATATTTCATACAGGCGAACATTGGCCTTGGGTACAATTATGATGTATCTCACCCCCGCTTTGCTGGGTGGAGTAATAGATATAGTGCACCAAGATTCGTATGATTCATGTTTTTAAGGAGTCTAAAATGTGTCAGACTGTTGTCGCTTCGACTTCTCTTTGCAATATCAGATTTCAGTTCTGATAGCAGTCACACCCAACATGGTTTGTAAATAGTAGTAATCTGCACTACTGTAGTCTTTTTGTGTTGTAATTCCTTATTATTAGGCTGTTCAAAAAGCTCCATGAAAGACCGCCATTGAATCCAAAATTGTACAACAGCAATACTTACTGGGACCAGGCCTCATTATAATATCATATCATCCCAGTGGAGGTCTTTCTACTTTTGCTTGTGGTTCCTAGTTTCCAAAAGCAAATTGTGAGTCAGAGCAGTCAGCTATCAAGCTTCTCTCCCTTGTAAGCAGCTCCCAGTTTCAATTTGATTTACAGACATCTCCTCAAATTAGGTTTAAAAATGTCCTTTTTAATAAAACCCAGTTAGGGCAGAATCGAGTGACCTTGAAACATTCTTAGTTGTTTTGTTATAAACTCGGGCTGCTAGGAACGGCACATGACGCACTTAACATTTCAGTCCTTATGCATTTACTAGTGTACATCACTGACTTCTTTCTACCAGTTTATATTTTGTCCTTGTGTCTGTGTGCTCTCTTTGTCTTTCTGTTTTTGTTCTCTATTTTAAGGTCCTGGAGGAGATCTTCCTAAATGTTCCTGCCTGTCAGGTGGTTTGTGTTTGTCAATTAGTATGTCATCAGTGGAAGGAAGTGATTGACAGCGAATCTTTGTGGAGAAAAAGGTGCAGAAGAGAAGGGCATCCCATCTGTAGTTTTTTTGTTTTTTTTTTTAAAACAGGACTGGAAGTTGTTTTATTTCTTGTCCAAAAAGAAAAGAAATCTCAAGAATCCAAATGGAGAAGGTAAGTAACCATAAAATGAACTTTACTTAACATAGTAGTATGACTCATTTTCAAATAAATCCAAAACATTTAAAACACCATTACTATTACTATTATTTATTTATTTGTCTATTTTCTAGAAGGACTGAATGGCTGGAAGATCTTGAGAAATGGTGGCGATCAGTGGGTTGCTTGGGGAATTAGGAGACCACATCCAGATGAAGCAGTCAAAACAAACTTTGCAACCTCTTTTGAGTGAGTATTTAACCCTAGCGGATATACAAATTTAACTGATCCTCTGAACCCATAGACGTAGAGATGAAAATGAAAATTTGATCTCTGCGTGATTTTATGCAATGCAGGCATGTGAAATGTTGGATAATAACCCAGAATGTTGAATCTGTTCATCTGGACGTTGCACTTTTCAGTGGGAGAGAAGTCACTTGAATGAGTGATTTCTCTCCCAGTGAAGTTAAATCCTGGAATTTCCTTACCTGGATATTTGAGCATGCATCAAGACTTGTATAATACAACATTTTAATTATTATTAATTGTTGTTATTATTTTTTATCATTCATTATTTACTTTTCTAGCATTAAAAAATTATATTTAAAAAACTATTCCAAGTTGTTTGAAAGCTGGAAAAAAGAAATACCTTAAAACTTTCTTACACTATATATGAAATAAGCTGCGTAAATTATTTGATAGAAACGATTTGATGAATAGTGTCTATTTGCTGTTCGAAATTGTTCATTTAAAAAAGGGGGAAAATCCCCGGATGACCCATAGCGGAAGTCTCCGTCAAGAAGGCTTAGAAGAGTGTTAGCTAGGAATGTTTTCCGGAGTATCCCCGGTGTTTTACGGTATTAACATAATCAGTCTGTGTTCTTCAGTTACTGCGTGCTAGAGAGTGCCATCCCAGTGGGAGTGACTGTTGTGGACGAACTACCTATGTAGCATTTTAGAGCATATCCCCGCCTACGAAGGGCGGCTCGAATGTCTCGAGGTAAATACCACCGCCACTGACAGGAAGGGCAACGTAACATGAGAGTACAAACCATGTATTCCCGTAAGTGATTACTTTGACTGTAGAAATTAAACGAGTCACTTGTCGTTGGTTAAATTTAGTCTTGTAACATTATGAGTTCTAATCTATAAAGCAGTTGGACCTTATCTGTAGCTGCACTTCCGCGTTGTCGGCTACAAGTGGGTCAACACCAACGACGTTAGAAAAGACTTGCTTTTAGAGAAGACAGAGAGGGGGTACAGTAACATCAGGCTACTTTACAGCCCTTGGTTCGTCGCAGGGCATAAAGAGGAAAACGAAAGTCATGGGTGCAAGTCACAGCCATGGTACTGCGAGTTCAAAGTCTGGCACAAGCTACGTTGTAGCAGAGCAGGCAACCTCGTCCTCGGCTCAAGAGGTGAGTGCCTTACTGGACTTTAAACACAAGGTAACTGCTGAATGAGCTTTGTCTATGCATGTGCTGTTTGTTGTCCATCAGCCAGCAACGGAAAAGAGCAAAGTGATAAAGTTCAGTTCAGGTTTACTTATATAGTGCCAGTTTACAACAAATAGTTGCCGCATTGCGCTTTGTATTGTCAGGTAAAGACGCAGCAGTATTGGAGAAAACCCCATAAAATCACGCGACTCCTCTTAAGGAAGCACTTTGTGACAGCGGGAAGGGAAACCCCCCTTCAAATTTAGAAGAAAAAAAAAAAGCCTGAATTACATGAGAGGAAACAAGGGTACTCAACAGACCAATCACAGTGTTTTGGGGTTGCCCCCTAGAGACGTGAACGCCAGGTTACAGAGTTTCAAATGGGTTTGCAATTCCTTTTTTATAATTCCTCCTGAAGCATAAATCTGCATTAAGGAGAAAGAATACAAAATATAATGAAATATTGGCGAAACTGGCCCATCCAGTGGGTCAGATGGGAGCCTTTGATGTCTTTTTATTTTACTTTTATATTCCCTGAACAATCGCAGGTTTTAAGCTAAAATGGTTTTGGAATCTCGTGGGTAAAGAGGTGCAAAGGTTTTGCGTCTATTGGCACAAATGTAAAACTTTTGCAGAGAGGATTATGCATCACACTGATGTGATCATCATCACATGATGCCTGTGACTCAGAAACATCTTCAGATTTGGAGAATGGAAAAAGTCACTTGGATGAGTGATGAAATGATTGTTCCCAATAAAAAAACAATACATCCAGATGAAGAGAATTAACTAGGATTTTGTTAGCTGGATGGTTGAACTTGCATCATAACAAATAAAGGGAGATTTGTGTCACTTAAACAAGCAACATGGCCAACTTGACATTTTTTACCATCTGGGGAACCTTTTCTAATGCTTAAGTCATCAGTAGCTGTCTGTCATCAGAAGAAAAAGAAAACAATCATAGCACAACAGAACATTTCTTTTTTTTATAATTCCAGTCTAGCAAGAATCCTTATGTAGAAAGAAAAATACATTCAGAGGCAGGATTTTTTTCTGCCAGACATACACATCTTTGGTTTCTAGGTTTTGTGATTAAAACAGTTTAAATAGTTACTATTTCAGTGCAAGCACAAAGGAACCTCATTTAGAAGGAATTCAAATGTGCTTTATAGCCACCCTGTGAATGAAAGTTCATGAAGTGCTTGAAAAGTTCATTTTTTAAAAGCTTTTGTTTTGTTCTTTTTCTTTTTTTTTTGTGTTGTCTGTGAAAATCAATAATATTGTAAAATGCTGATGTAGTTCAAATTGTGAGATTATGTAAACAGCTGGGACTATTGATCCAGGTGCAGTGATGGAAAACTGAACTTATCTTTTTAAAGCTCCTTCTTATGAGTGCTTTTTTTTTTTTTTTTTTTTTATAAATCTAGTTCTTCCCTGTTCCTCTGGAGATCCTGGAGGAAATCTTCCTACATGTTCCGGCCAACCAGGTGGTTCATGTTTGTCGGTTGGTGTGCTCACAGTGCAAAGAAGTGGCTGACAGTGAATCTTTATGGAGAGAAAGATGTAGAAGAGAAGGATACAACCTTCGTGATTCTTCCAAAACACCTGAAGACTGGAGGTTATTTTACTTCTTATGCAAGAAAAGAAGAAATCTTCTCAAGAATCCAAGAGGAGAAGGTCAGAATCCTTGAAGCTCA